TTATTCAACCCCAAGACATGGGAACTTATAGAACATTGTCACTTCCCAAAGAGCTTTTGCTTTTATTTTTCTTCTCAGCCTGTGTGGGTTCTGTTTGCTTTATGGATTTTTCACAGACAATTTGCTACCAGCCTTGGACATCTGTGAGTGGCTTGCACATGGCTGTCAGTTGGGAGAAGGTTCTTTGTAGTTGCATGCAAATAATCATGCTGCTTGATGGCAGAAATTGCTCCAGTTCTGATCAAAAAGTCTTACCACTAGATTTGTTATTGACCATTTTAATTAGAACGTGTATTATTTCAGAGCACTTTTGAAGTCTGTTACATCAGTATGATGATGGATGCTAGAAGGAAGGCTGAGGGAAGTGGTCATGATCAGAAGCTGGCCAACACAACAGAGCACATGGACTTGGCAAAACTCACCATCCCATTTACGGTAAATTTCTGCCTTTAGGAGACTGCTTTTGTGTTTCATGACAAAAATCAACCCTTAAGAGAACAGGGCTCCTTCAGAATCCAGGAACATACAAGTTATAGAGGGCCAGGCACACAAACAGCTACCTTAAAGGCAGACTGAAGACAAGTCCCATTGCGTGACATTAGACTAAGGACCTATCCAGAGTATTTGTAAAAAAACAACCCCAAAACTCTCTCTGTCATGGCTGCCAATGCCCAGAAAATGAGCCTCAGATCTCACCAGGGCATTTCCCATCAGGTCTCTCACTTTTGTCTGGCTGATAGTGCAGCCACCAGCCCTCAGTTTAGAGACAGAAAATGATGGAAGGACTTTCACATATGGGGAACTGTTTTGCACAGTGATCCTAAGAATATAAAAGGCCTTTTTGGTCTTTGTGCTGCTGCTAAGGCCACCAGCACCCACGGTGAGTACACACCTACAAAGGCATTTACAGCTGCTCCTACCAAGAGGAAGCACAAGCTGTGAGAGCACCTAACCTGATCCCAGGGAGAAATGCAGTAATGAAAGTGGCTTCTAGGGCCAAATGTTGAACGCCGTCTCCTACACGGAATGACTGCACATATGTTCTCACTTTTGTGCACTGCAAAGAGAGGACTACTGGTGGTGTGTGCTGCACTGCAAAGCTGCAGGCATCCTGCAGAGACAAAAGGCTTGTGCTTAGGGTAGGAAGAGTGTCTTAGCTATGCTGTACTCTACAGATTATTTTGATCCAAAGATCGATGTTATAACCCACTGCATTTTTTACATCAGTTAAGTAAATAGAAGGCTAATGGCAGATGTTTTCAGTTAAACTTCAAGAAAGGCACCGCCTATATGTCAATTTAGAATTGGTGTAATAAGCCAACAAGACTCTGAATTACAATAAAAGCAAATTTAGGAATGAAATCTACTGGAGACTTAACTGGTCTCAAGTGCATAGTTAGATTTCTAAAATAATAGTTGCAACCCAGCATAACAAACATGACTTGCTTAAAAACAAAAGCTGGAGTTTAACTGTAAATTGCAGTTGGCTTTCATTCCCATGAGAAACTGCAAGATATTTCTTCTTGGAATAACTCTCAGTAAAGGCATACCAATGGTGCCTTCAAAACCATACAGAGTGGGACTAGGATTACCCAGTTCTGCTTTTTTCCTCTCCAGGTTTACCAACTCTAAGGTCCTTAGGCACAATCACACAGATTTTCTGTGAGTACTACTTTGTCCACAAATGCTGGGGCTTTGTCGTTGGGCAGAGGCAGGTCAAAATGTGGGCATGGCTGGCTGCAGGGGCCAAGGGGAGAGCTGTACTGAGGGACAGCAGCCAGCAGGGCAATGGGAGAAGGGTAAAGGGCTGCCAGAGTATCTGGGGAGGCAGAAATGGAGGACCTGACAGCAAGCAACTGGCTGTGAACTGGAGGGGTGGCCCAGCAAGCTTGGAAAGGGGCTTGGAACAGGGTGGGGAAGAATGAAAGAGGGTAAGAGGGGGAGGATTATATATGTACCAGTGTGTAATAAGTTAATATACTTTTGGAAAAAAAATAATACTTAAACATATTTACATCAATATATTAAACATATGTCAGTATTTAAACATATTTCTGTGCACCTGCACAGAAGCCCTTGGTGGGGATTTCAGTGGCTTACCCTCATGCTTGCAGAGGGGCATGGGGGATTTGGGCATACCAGGAGAAGGAGCACATAGGAGAAAGTTCACTGGAACAGGTTGCCCAAGGAAGTTGTGGATGCCCCCTCCCTGGAAGTGTTGAAGGCCAGGCTGGATGAGGCTTTGAGCAACCTGGTCTAGTGGAAGGTGTCCCTGCTGATGGCAGGGGGATTGGAACTAGATGATCTTTAAGGTCCCTTCCAATCCAAACTATTCTATGATTCTATGAAAGTTACAAGGTAATGGTCATTTTTACTCTTTTCCAACCTACAACTGAATAGTTTTTATCAAGTTTTTATTATGAAAATTAATAATGTACTGTTATTGCTTTGTGCAATACTGTTCTCTTAAAACTTCCATCTTATCAAATGGACATGTGCACATTCACACACCCATCTACTACAAACTTTTCTGTTGAGATGTGCCATGAGCTGCAAAGCCCTAGGACTGCCACTGGCCAGGCTTACCCCAACTCCCCCCTCCAAGAAAAACCCTTCAAACTGTAAACTTGATTCTGCTTTGTACATTGGTGAAACTGTCAGTCAGTCTCACAGAACCATGTCATTAACCTCCATGCAGTCACGTAGGATAGCGACTGATAACCCATTTTACTTCCTAGTCTTTGTCTGTACCTGTTCTCTGGCCCTGCAGCTGGTGGTGGGAAGGGCTCCAGCCAACTAAAGACAGAGTCTCCAGCAGAGCTCAGAAGGCACTCAAGCAGTCAAAGTGCAATCAGAAAAGGCTGACAGTCCTGCTGGGAAAAGACTGTCCAAGCAGTTCAAAGGGCTCTTGACTGAACTGTAAGCTACTTCATGTTTGGAAGCAGTGTCATGGGTAAACTTTAGTACACAGACAAATAAAGACCCTGCAGAAGAAAGCAAGTGAAAAAGTTCTGAAAAAGTTCCAAAGGAAAGGCCACTTCACTTGCATTCCCTTCATCTCCTCTGTCAGGGCTGTGGTAGCAAAAAGGAAGGGCAAGTAAGTCGCAGTGGAAAAGGTTTCCCTTCTTCCACAGAGATCTGTTCGAGGCACAAGAAAAGCCAGGAGGGGACAAGTTCTTTCACTGAAAATTTTGCGAGTACCTCCCAGTGAGCCTTGTCCTCTTCTAGCAGCCAGCTCTCTGCAGGTGGACAAAGAATTAAGGTGGGCTTAAAAGAACAGCAGACAGCTGGGAGGGAAGATTTGTTGTCAGCTATCTTCCAGATGCTTGTTCGGGACGTGCTCAGTCCCCACAGAGGCAGAATAGGGTGGAGGAGCAATGTTCTCAAAGGAGTGAAATGGGTTCTTCTCCAGGCAGAACTTTTTAGGGAATTGTCTCCTCCAGGTATTCTACTAATAATCAAATTAAAAATCAAGCCAAGTTACCTACTGGCCCTTGTAATTTTGTTCCTAATACCTGGCTGAGTGGTGCACAGGAAGCAGTGTTTGATGCCGTTGTTTACTTAATGCTATCCTTGTGTCTCATCTGTTTCGACATCTCTGCCCAAATCCCTGGACATTTTTTTATTTCCTGGATTATGCTGATGTTCTGAAGAAAAATCCCAAAGAACTCAAGTAACTATAATTTCACAATATTTCATTATTAATGAAGGATAAGATTTGTCACTGGATTCTTATGAGTATTTTCCAAATTACATTTACTCCAACAACTGAAAAGTATTTCAAGTAAAACAAGACTCAGTAACATGTTAAGAACAAATACTCTGTAATTTAGAAACAGCATTTGTTCTTCAAGTGATAAAGTGCCCATTTGCACGTGATCATTCAGCTCAGCCAGAAAAGGATTTTTGTAATGAACATGAAAAGGAAGTTCCATGCAGATAAATGCCAAAAATAATTCTGATACATCTAATAAAAATTCCCCTAAGATAGCTGGTTATAGATTATCACACTTGTCTTACTCTACTGCATGGGAAAATGCAATTATCAAAGTGTTGAAAGCCTGAGCTTTTTTCTTAGTTTATGGAAATTTGCATCATCAGATGTTTTCTGTATGCTTGAATTTAACAAAAACATTTGGGTTTATGATTCACTTGTACTGTAAAACACCTAAGTTTCAAAAAAGCATTATGTACAGATAAGTAAAGTTTATGCTGTTACAGGGTTCACGATGCTTTAGATGCCTGTGACAGTGACCCTGTGCCCCAAACATGTCCTAACTTGGCAGTTCCTCCCCATATTAATTAATGATAGATTTATACAGTTCATGTCCTGTCTCTCATGTGGGACTAGACCAAGGACATTTCTGTTCGCCAGTAAGCCTGTGCCCCTAGTGTGTAGCTGTTTTCTCTACTGTCCTGCAGCACTGTAACATGATGATTATTAATCCTGACCATGTGGTGCTGAGAGGTCCCACTCACACTGAGTGTTGTATAACAGAGCAGTAAACAGCTGAGGAAGCTGAGGGAAGGCAGTCAGCATCCTAACAAACCAGTAAGGCCAAGGAATTTGCCCTGCTAAGCAGGCGTAGGAGGAACCCAAATGAGAGGATGAGGACAGTCTCCATACTTGATGGGATCTCTGTAGCCACCAAGTTAGAGAAGCTAGATCACATTCAAGTAATCCTTCATCAGATGTGTACAAATCACCGGGACTGGATGGCACCACCCCTGTCCTTGAAGGAGCTAGAATGAGATACTGCAGAACTGCTGGCCAAGTCACACAGCCTTTCGTTACAGTCTCGGTCACCAGGCACTGGTGATTTGCCAGCACCCCAGCTCCAGCGGGGACCCTGGCAACTAAGGCCCAGTAATGACCAGTCTGACTTCTTTTTCAAAGCTGTAACAACAGATATTTGTTCTAAGCTTGGTTTCCAAGTACAAGTCAGGCATATCTCTTTGAAATTATTCTCCTATCGTTCTCTTTCATGTTTTGGACTTACCATTGATGTTTACAGCTGGCAACACTATAGACATTTTTGGTCTTGTGGTCTTGTTATGTGTGGTGGCTGGCAGTAACAGGTGGTCCTGGAAAACAGGGGAGAATATGTGTTAAATCTACCCGGGAAGTACAGAGCTGGGAAAATTCCTGTCCATTCTGTCTTACAAGCATTCTCCACATAGAACTATTTACGACAGCTTAGCAAATTCAAATTGTTGAGAGAGTCTTCCAAAAGTCACAGCAACTGCTCATGCTTTGTAACTGAGAAGAAAGCTCTGTCGCATGCAGCAGAACATGAAAAAGCCTTGATCATGTGGAAAGAGATGGAAACTACTATTAGGCCCTCATTCAACAGAGCACTTATGTATATGATTAAAGTAATTTAACTTGACTTCAATGATATTTAAACATGTGGTTAAGGGCTCTGCTGAATTGGAGCCTTCACTTGCAGTGCTGTCTGCTTTATATATAAATGCCATCTTGCTGCATCTATGTCAAGCTGTACACCACATGCCTCGGGCAGTAGGACTCTATCAGTCCTGGTTGTGATGGGATGTGAAATATGAGCTCTGCGGACAAAACCTACCAGGGAGGTTTGATGGCAAAGCTGCGTTTCAGTAGCTTATCTGAACTGTGAGGTGGCTGGGTGCTGCTGAAGGACAGCAGTGTTCTAACCAACTACCCTGGGCTTTAGCAGTGGAAGCTGCATCTGCAGGAGATGCTCTGGATACAGACCTGACCTGCAAGGAAAAATGCAGCCTTTCTTCAGTTTTTTTTTTGCTGTTGCTGAACTCAAATTGCTCAACTTGCAGTCTGGGAAAATATGGTTCTTCCCTTATCAACAGAAGTAGCAGCACATGAAGTGCCAGTCCAGTCATCTCCCATAGTATTGCGCTATGCTGATCTAGATGGACCAAAGACAGACTACTAAGGGTGAGGGAAGCTTCCCATGCCTTTCAAAGACTGGCTTCCCTAACAGAAGGCTGCTTCACTGCACCGTCTCAGTACGCACTGGGCATTGTAAGGGAAATAGATTTGCTCTCTTAGTCATTAAGAACAAAGGACTGTGTTTATACAATTGAAAAATCGAGTTCAAAACGCAGGCTCTAAGTGAAACAAAAACCTGCCGATCACCAAGTATCTTTTCCAGGTCCCAAAGAATTAATTGAAAGCTTTATTTTCCCAGCCTCTGTGTTTGCTACTCTCTAATCCCAGCAATGCCAAATTCACCCCCAGCATCTCTGAGAAGAATGAAAGCTGGTACATGCCACCATGTCAAGCATGTGGAGACCAACTCAGTAAAAGGTTTTTGCAACTGTCCTAAAACCAGATCCAAACATCTGCCTTTCACTTTTCAAGAGCAAGCATCTATCTCACATGGTTAAAAAGTGGAAGCAAGTTGGATGCTCTCATTTCATTTCATGCTTTCCCATTTGTAAAATTCCCACGATATTTTACAAACCCAGCACTCAAACTTTACATGCAGCTCTGCATCTCCCTGGTTAAAGGGTAAGAACGGGCACACAAACATCTCATGCTTTTGGCCAAGGTTATCTTTTTAGCGGACTGAATTGGACTTCCTTCAGGACACAGTTGTTAACTTCTTAATGTCAGGGTAACTGTATTTTCTCCATTGAAATACCTAAACACTACATTGTTATGTCTAAGATTCAGAGAACTGAGTTAAACACAAAGTTAAGTGTTAAATATATCAAGATATTCTGTAGATACACTGCAGAAATATCACTCTCCTTTCTTCCCACTAAAAAAATCCCCCCAAAAACCAAATGACTGACCACAAGAAGAAAACATTACTTCAATAAATGACTGTAATTAAAAACATCTTAGTACCAAAATTACAAAACCACTCTGGTATAATTCTCAGACTACATATGTAATTCCCATTTAATTTTTGAGCCACTGAGATTAAGACAACACTCAGTAAGACAATGAACTTTACAGAAAAACTGTTCTTGAAATTCAATGTTCCCAAGGGAACAGGCCAAAGATAAGATGTCCATTAAAACTACATTTTGTAACAATATCCTTGTCATGGTTTGATGATTATTTTTAATATAGCTTAAAAAATGCTTATCCTCTTTTTTTCCTTTTTCAATGCTTCTGAGAGTCCACATCATTACCTAGCAAAACGCAAGGACTGCATAGATGATCCCCTGTGAATCATTACAAGTGACTACTATCTTTTGCTAACACAGCTGAAGATTGGTACATTAACTGATGCTGGCTTCATTTTGTTTATAACAGCACCTTTATTTACTGTATGTATAAAATGTATTAAGAACTATCACAAACACTTTCTAATTGCAGTACCTCTACAGAAATAAACAGCAGTGTCATGACAGAAATGCCAAATTTCTGGATAGCAACAAAATAAGGAAAATTCCTCAGGTACCTCCTGTACCATTACCCTTCTTGGCTGCACCATGGGGTGTTCAGGTTGAACGTTCATAAACAGTTTTTCACTCAGAGCGTGGTGCAAACCTGGAACAGGTCAGCAGAGAGCTAGGGGATCTTGGAGGTTTCCAAGACCCAGCTACACAAAGCCATGGCTGCCCTTATCTACTGTGAGCAACAGTTCCACTTGAAGGAGAAAGTTGAGCTAAACACCACCAGCAGTTTCCTCTACCCATTTCAATGATCCTCTGATGCCCCTTCTGCAGTCACCAAGACAGGTACTGGCAGTACCAACTTCGCATAAGAGTCGTGTGGTAACTGCAGAGGCAGTGCAAACACCTCAGAGTTGGCCTTTAAAAGCTCTGCATCTCCTCCACCATGGTTCAATTCAAAGATTTGGCTCAAACTGTCTCTGCAGTTAAAAAATTTCATTTCCATGACTGCAACGCAGCCAAACTATGCACTAATACTGCTGAGCAAGTTCAAATTTCACCAAATTGATCTGCTGGAAAACAATACTTTATTCTAAACCTTGCACTGAAAATGAGATGTAAAATTCACCTAGAAGCCTTTCTCCCTACTCCTTGCTCTCCCCCTCTCCCCCAAATACCAGGAGTTAGATTTAATTGCAACTAATTTTAGACTTCTGTGAATGATGTTTCAAGAGCTGCAAAGAAGAAATGAGCAGTTCACCACTATCTACTCTCCTTCCTTATAATTCTCTCTTAAAACAAAAACACCAAGTCATTTTCTGGTAGATCAGCCAATGGAAGCAGGCAACTCCAGCAGGTATCTCACTCCATACTAAGACAGCACTGGAGGTAACAGGAGCTCCAGAAAAGCCTGCTGCTCTCCAGAGACTATAATGAGAATGAGGTCTAGTTCAGACTGGTCAACCAACATCCAGACACCTCAAGCTGTATTAAATGAATCCCACAGTTGTCTTCTCCTGACTTAGAGAAATAAAAGGAACATTATTTTCTAGATCACAATCACTCAAAATCAAAGGAATATAAGAAGGAAGACAGATATATAAAGTGCCAATATTATATTCAATCTAACCTAATGAAGTGAACTTCTTGTACACTAACCATGGCAGGCCCAACACATCCTGCTCAGCCACACACTGTTACTAGCAATCCCTCCAAACACAACCCAACAAGATCAATTCACTGGATCTGAAACAAAGTGCATAGGGAACCATTTTCAAGGAAGTTGCTCTGCTACCTAAGATATTAAAATTAGCTCCCCCATAGTTTCCAGACTCTGACATGTCTCCTAAAACTACACAGTGAAGTGGTAGCTTCATGTATCAATTCACCTGTTTTGCTAGAGCATTGTGAACAGTTGAGAGGGAAGACCCAGAACCTTCTGCTCCCACAGCAGATAGTGAGACAATTAAGTCATTTTCACTCGCACTTGAGTATCCAAACACATTCTAGAGCTGCTGCACAACTCTTCAGTGTTTCAACACCAACTCTGGAGAAGGCAGACGTGTGAAAAGCCAGGCAGCTGTAAATCCAAACTGCTACCAGGAACTAATGTGCAAGATGCAGATTGTCTGGAAGTTGGATACTGCCCATCTCCACTACAAAAAGTTATTTTTTAAAATCTGGAATTAGGGAAATTTATCTGTCTCCCTAATAATCTTTATCTTTTACATGCAGGAGTCCCTTTGACAATCAGTCCTAACTTGCAAAGTCTCATAACTACCCTCATTCTACATTGAAGGCAAAGGTAACAGTGGGTATGCTGCAGAGTATCATAAATATTTTGCCTACAGTTTAGCTACCGACAACATTCTTGAGCCCAAAAGTCTTCAAATAGTTCACAATTTTTATTAGCAATACCTAATTATTTACAGGTAACATAAATGACTGTACGGATTAGTGATTGGGAAGAAATTAAACATTTAGAAACACTGAATGTATTTCTAACACGTAAAATATTTTCTCTTGTCCTATCCTGTTCTGAAGTGTGCTGAATTGCATCCTAGAGGGGTGTGCGATGCTATTACTCATCCCTAATTTTCAACACTAGGCAAAAATATCTAAAATTAACACACTGTTTGTGATATTGACACATGGTATAAAACTGAAAATGAATAAAATAAAATCTTACAAGTCAGCATCTGGCCCATAAGCATGAATGTCGACCAGAGGCAGAATTAATCACAGCTATTACCCAACAACAGATGGCCTTGGCTTGGGCCAAGATTTGCACTTAGATGAGATGACAATTTAAATAGACGATGCAGACCTGAGACTGCTGGCAGAAGGACTGGAAAAATATCAACCTGGAAAGACAATATTTCAAATGAGACCCTAGCTTTACCATTCTAATTTTGCCTTTGATCATCTCTACAGTTCAGTGATATTGAAGCCAGATGAGACAGATAGATAAATATAGACATAGATACTAAAAATCCAGCTACAAATATATTACGTTAATTTAATGAATTGGGATACAGAAACACATTTTTTCCTGGGGATAAAGTCTGAAGCTGTTACTTGTTAAACTTCTGATAATAATCACATTTATTAAGTTCTTGCCACCATAAAACATTCTGGCCGCTATATAATTAAAATATAATTAAACAGAGTTGTAAACGTTTAGAATTAAGGTGCCCCTATAGGACGAATTTCCTCACTGAATCTTTTCACTCTGCTGG